CCCCCCCCCCCCCCCCCCCCCCCACTCCGGGACATTAGTAATTGCATTCCTACGCTCCACCTACAGAAACGTTAGCGCTAATTAATTATCAACTGAGACAAAAGGAAACTACAACCATGTCTGAAGTGACTTTACTAGAAAGACGCCCGAAGTCAAAGATTACATGATAGTTAGGCAATGAAACTTAAAATGGGCTTTTTACAATCCTCGATCTATTGGTGATACTTGATGATACTGTATATTTCAACTCAAAGCATTAAGATTCCAGACGTTTTAAACAAAGGAGATGATTTATTTTGTCCTAAACAAAGAGAAGTGGAAGCCACATCGTTTTGCGCGTTTTTCAACAGCAATTAAAGAGTCATAAAAAGTACGTACGATTCCACTGTCACCAAACGCATAAAAGAAAATAATACAATGGAGCTTGATGTATTTTCGTGTAGTTTTTCGGTGTAATCTGTTGATGATAATTCAGTATAAGTTAGAGAGAGATTGATCTTGTTTTTGCAAATGCAAAGTTAATATACAGTAAGGAGCAACATTGACCGGGCTGGAAATATAAATAACATTTGAACCCTTTTGCAGGTATAAGGTATATTATATAATGCTACAATGAATCATAAAAGTTCTGGTCTCCGTTCTTATTAAGGAACGTTAACTCTGGGCCTTAATTAAAACGCACATGTTATTGTATTGCTGCTCTCCAACGACAAAACCATTAGCGTGCATAGGTCGTTTAATTAGCTCGTTTGCATTTTGATTTCCCATTGGTCTGATTGGATTATTTGCCCCAGTGTTATGATTGGCCAAAAAGATTTAATATTTACGAGATGTTCGAACTGATCAATGAAACGTACTAGAGCGCGTCAAGCATTTTAAAGAAGCGAGTCTTCGCATACGCATCTTCCTGTCGAAGCTTGATCATGTAAGTTAAATGTTGATTTGGGGATATATTTTGCTGTTGTTTTCTTTTTTCCTCTCTGATCCACTGTGAAAAATTTAAGAAAAGTTTAAAAATTCTCCGCCTTGGCGCCATTCTTTGAAAGGTTATTCCCAGTTCAAACGTCGAACTTTTCATGTACCGAACTTAATAGCTATTTGGGTCGACCCAAATGCCAACTCAATTTATTTTTATGATGTAAAATGGTCCACAATGTTTAACAGTAAAAATAATTACAGTAATTTATGCATTAGGTTCGGCGCTTGAAAAAGTTCGACGTTTCAAACCAAGTCGCTAAGTAGTCGAAATTCCAATGTGAGCCACTCAAAATCAGTTCAAGAGTAGACCCAAATAAGATATGTCGGACTTGATCGATTCAAATGCCGATTTTTTCATTTACATAACTGAAGGGATTAGAGACCGTACATGAAAAGTTCGACGTTTGAACTAGGCCTATCAATAGCCGAATTTAAACTAGAGACGAATTGTCTGTCTAGGACGAACAAGAACCCTTTCAGTAGCGTTGAGTCTCGCTTGCTTGTGGAAAAGTTTTGTTGTCAAAGGCCGCTTGTGCTGTTATGCTATTTTTTCGTTTGGAATACAAAACGAGTGTTATATGTCATAATGTAAATAGGGAGAGACAGGCCGCACGTCTTAGATTCTCACCCGGATGAAACCTTTGAAAACCTTTTACATATTGAAATTGCTCCAGTGAGGAGAACTCTTTCAGGGATTTTACACTCAAAAAATTGAACTATGATTTTTATCAGTTTAAATATATATAGCTTCTCTGTCGCGGATATATGTCCGTGCAGTTGATGTTTACGCGATCTTAGAGTACAACGTTTAGAGCTGTACACAGCGTGCATTTCACAGTAGACCTTCACCGTTCTAAACCTCTTATTTTATTGGTGCCCTTTAATCTGCACCTCCATTGTTTTCAGGGATAGGGGCATTGTTATGTGATAATCCTCATTGTTTTTCCAGCTAATCACAAACAATCTTTCAATTAGGTGCGGGGTCGCCCGCATTTTATCACAGTATCACTGGGATAAAAGCGTTTCATTTTGATAACTCTAACTTAACTATTCAATCTCTTACTCAGATCTCTTGTTGACGAAGCCGAAGGCGAGATCTGGTCAAATCCGATTTGTACACGTGATCGCCTGTCAGGAATGTGACAGGGGATGAAAGAGCGCTCCCTCGAAATAAATCCTCAGTTTCAGACGTGTTGAACAACAAATGTGATAGAGCCATGAAGTTNTTAGAGCTGTACACAGCGTGCATTTCACAGTAGACCTTCACCGTTCTAAACCTCTTATTTTATTGGTGCCCTTTAATCTGCACCTCCATTGTTTTCAGGGATAGGGGCATTGTTATGTGATAATCCTCATTGTTTTTCCAGCTAATCACAAACAATCTTTCAATTAGGTGCGGGGTCGCCCGCATTTTATCACAGTATCACTGGGATAAAAGCGTTTCATTTTGATAACTCTAACTTAACTATTCAATCTCTTACTCAGATCTCTTGTTGACGAAGCCGAAGGCGAGATCTGGTCAAATCCGATTTGTACACGTGATCGCCTGTCAGGAATGTGACAGGGGATGAAAGAGCGCTCCCTCGAAATAAATCCTCAGTTTCAGACGTGTTGAACAACAAATGTGATAGAGCCATGAAGTTGTCTCTAACAAAACATGGTTATACGCATATCCTACGTATAAACAAACTGATTTGCGGTTGTTTTTCTTCATAACATCAAATTCCAAGCGACAGCTAGTTAGTTTGAATTTTGTTATCATAGCTCGCGCTAAAAGCTCACTTCTAGGCGAGAATTAGTTTTACCCTTTTCAAAGGTCTTCATTTTGATACCGAGAGAGAGTTATAAAACATCTTTAAAGATGAGATAAAAACGGTTTTACAAGTTATATTGAGCAGAGGGAAAACTACTTCTTCGGTGAAAAGAATTATTTGAACAGAACTGAAGAATTTGCAAAGAATGAAATGCAAACGCTAGAGCGCTCGCAGGAGACAACACTCACGTCACTCGGTTACAATCTATTAAAGCCAATCACAAAAATTGCATTTTCTTACTAGACCAGATCTCGCCTTCTACTTCGTACACAAGAGTTCTGGTACGAGATTATTAACTATTTGATATGGAATATTACATGTAAATTATTTGTTATTTATAATATGAGTAAATAACTGACATCCTTATTTAAGAAATACTTCAAGATTGGCTTAATTTAAAAAATGTCGTTAACATTTGATTTCAGACTTCCAAAGAGTCCTTTTTGTTCACCATTGGAATTGTCTCCGTTGTCACCTTTGTAAGTTTGGTTGCAATGGGGTTGTCACAGCTTCTAGCGCCATGTAAGTGAAATAAAAACATGTTATATAAGTAAGTAAGTAAGTAATTTTATTTAACCACATATCGCATATGAGCGATAGCTCGTTTAAACGAAATGTGCCATAAAAATTACAACGTGATAATTTACATAATGTACATGTACAAGTGATAATATGAGAAACAGTTTACTTTTACTTCTAACGGGCCAATAAGTGAAGCCTTATAAGGGGCTAATCGGGATGTGGCGCTGGATGGGGTCGCATTTTCAGGGCTGAATTGACTATAATGGGGTCGCACATTTTCGGATTTTTGGGGGTGAGACAGTTCTTCATATTTACGGTTAGCAAACGTACCAAATTGTTTGTATTGCAGATGAAAAATAAAGTGTTCTTCATTCAATCTAAAAAATGGGTCAATTCATAAAAATAGAAAGTGACTAAGTCGGGATCGCGAAAATTACATATTTGCCCAAAAGGGAATTATAAGATGGGGTCCGTAATTGGCCAAAGAATAGACTATAATGGGATAGGAGCTCCGAAAGGCCAGCGGCACATACCCAGCAAAAACTAACCCAAAGAGCCTTCCCGGTTCTTCGCAGCTAGAAGGATGTAAAGATTTCTTCTGATCTACTATGTTTTTGCATGTAACTTATACAAGGATGAAGAAAAACGTTTTACTTTTAACTGACTGCTGTTTCCACTTCTTTTTAGCCGAGGAGAAGAAGAAACTATGTGCAGCTATAAACTTTCACAATCCCGTGTTTCCATGTCAAACGAATAGCCCTGATAGATGCGTGTCTTATGGCTGTTGCTTTGATTACGATGTGGCTATGTGCTTTAAAGCCCCAGGTATTTATTTACACTCAGTTATTTGTTATATATGATAACAATGGTCGAGTAGTGGTTACACGGTCTGTGGTATTGTGTATAATTACCGGATGAGGTTGAGTAGGATGTGAAGAATTATGCAGATCGAGGGGGATGTTATTCACCGAGGCTGAAGGCCGAGGTGGATCATATCATCTGAGATCTGCACAATTCAATACATCGTATCACAGCCTAATTCAATAATTGTTTTATTATTCATTCAAAATATTCTTAAGTTCTTAAGTTCATGATTACCTCTTCGTAAACTTTCTTCAAAACCTTGACTTATTTCTCGCACGGTTAAAGCATATAAACAGATGATTTATCTTGCAGATACTCCTCAAAAAGTAGATAACATCCATCGAGCAACATGCTTTGCATATCTTTCATTTCTTCCATTCAGTTTAAGTCAGAAATTTAGCTATTTCGTGTTCTAACATCAGTTTACGCTTTTTTTTTTTTAAGTTTACTATTGCAAGAGCAGCCTCGTTTCCAATCCAATATATGTCATCTAATCGATGGCCCGCATCGCCTTGTTTCCACTATCAACTGAAAAAGAGACTGAATGGCTCAAAATGACAGCCGGACAACGGTCAAGAGGTTAAGGTTAAGGTTAAGGTCAGAGGAGAGAACTGACCGAGCTATAGTTTCTTTGGCCGGTCAACATGCAACAGTCCCAAATTTATGTTGAGCCCTGAACTCAGCGTCAGATTCTATTTGCCGCCCACCCCGACTGAAGGGTTGATTTTTTTTTTTGGATAATCCAGTCAATGTCGATCCATGATTTTTGCAGATTCAAAAGAAAGCGTCTGAATGGGGTATAGTGTTTAGTGTTATTTGCTCATAATTTTAGTGTTTACTGTTAATTTGGCCAAAGTTTTTAATAGTTACTGTTTCTGGAGAAAATACTGTCAATTGTTTGGAGGGTTTTCGTGAAAGACAAAAACCCATAGTCTTTTGGCATTGTCAACTCTTGTCTGCTCTTGAAAAATTTTCCGGATTTCTCCTCGGAAATTTTCGGTTGTCTTTGGACATCTTCGACAGTCTTCGGACATCTCCGGTAGTATTTGGAATTCTTCGGCAGTCTTTGGGAATCTTCGTTAGTCTTCGGAAATCTTCTGAAATAATCGAGAATTGTTGGACAATGACCGAAAACTCCTTGATATACCAAACAAAATAATATTGGCTTTTTTGGAACCATCATTCTTGAAAAAATTTTACTGTTACGGTGAATTTTTCACTGTTAGGGTTAAAATGCCAAAAACGTAACTGTTTTTTGTTGCTTTTTCGACGAAAAATAGCCCGACAGTGGGAGTGAAATGTGAAAACATAAACTTCAGAAAATCGTAGGAAATTTATGAGACAAACTTCGAAAATCGTACATGAATGGAACGGGCATCTAGAAATTTTTAGCCGTCCTTAACCAATAGAAATTTCTAGGCCATTTTCGCTTTTCCGAACAGATATTTTACAGAAACCAGTTGTTGGGTGGACCTGACCCAGACACCTCATTAACATCATCATCATCATCATCATCATCATCATCATCATCAGCTTGGCTTTTTGTAAAGGTCCCTGAAAAACGTCGGCACAATTTCCTTTACTTTGAGACCCTGAGTACTGTCTGTTGCGGCCTCAAATTTGGAAATTATTTTGACCTTACAATTGAGACAGGTGCCTAGATATCGGATGAAGAATTGTTAAAAATTATACTTGTTGTCACAACTTTATTGCTACAAAATTTAATTTCTTTTATCTTACTTTGACTTCATGTAGATAACGTGTGTGACGTAGACAAGTACGACAGCAACAGAAGGAACTGTGGATGGAAAGGAATCACCAAGACGGAATGTGAAAACAGAGGATGTTGCTTTGATGATGCGATTTACAGAAATCATATACCGACTTACGACTGTCATTATCGGTTGTAAGTTTATTCTTTTGTTTGTTTTTTTGGATAAGCGCACCGATAAACATCACAAGGGGATGAAGAAGTGTCTAACAGACATTTGCCAACAAACAGCTACTTAAAATGCAAGAAAGTTTAGAAAAGGTATCTGATTTCCGATTTTGCCAACGTGACAGGTTTTCGGGGATTTTTGCTGTGATGCAAATAAAACTCGCAAAAAAGGTATTTTATGTGATCTCTTATGAAAATGAGAGTTTTTAGAATTGGCAAACGGATTGTTAGATCTTATGTAGAGAAGAATGGTTATTAAACCCAGCCCGTCAGACATCTTTGTTACATGTTCTTTTTGTGGACTTGGCGGTGGTCAAAGCTCAATGGCATTCCTATCATTTTTATCTTTCTGTTAGCTAATAGTAGTTATTAAAAACTGAATCATTGGAAAATGTAATTCTAGAGTTCTGATTGGCTTAGCCATCATGGTATATGAGCCATTATACCATGTTCTCGAAATATGGTAACCGTACGCGTCTGTTCAAAATTAAAAACAAGCTAAAAATCGGTTGTTTTTACAAATAAAGTTAGGAAGAATTCTCCATATTTTGTGGGCGCTTCTAATAACACAATTATTCCACTCGCCCTTGTTGGATATGAGATAATTATAGCCAACGAGGCGCGTAGCTATATACCATCCCATATCCAACGCGCACTCCTGAAATAATTAGCAATTAATGAATTCGGCTTTCCTAGGATATGAAGAATTAAGCAGATCGAGGAGGGTGTTATCCCCCGAAGCCAAAGGCCGAGGTGGATAACACCCTCCGAGATCTGCTTAATTCTTCATATCCTAGGAAAGCCGAATTCATTAATTGCTTTATTATTCATTCAAAATAATTCCTAGGTTTAAAAACACAACTAAAACATGCTTACCTGCATCAATGTTTTACGTCATTTTTCAGTTCTTCCAAATTTTGTCATCAGTAACTGGTTATGGTGAATTATGCGTGTGCTTTTAGCCAATCAGAATTGGGGAAATATTTTAAATGAATAATAATTGTTAATTAACGTCGCATTGAATCGTTCCGTAACAATTTGTGAACAACCAAGCAAAGGATTGTGCACCATCAAGGAGCTCCCAATATCTTTGATGTTTGCTTCCTTTGATTAATTTCATTACCTGTCTCCGCTACTAACTGTGATTTAAAGTTTAATTGAATTTAGAAATATGGATTATAATTTGGTATTAACAATGGGGGGGGGGGGGGGGGGGTAAGACAACGAAATGAAACTGTCTTGTTGATAAAAGAAGGCGAGTTTTCAAGGCCGACGAAGGAGTTAGTTGATAAAAAAGTGGAGTTGGATGTAAGAGGTGGTTAATTGTTTTTACATTAAATACTTAAACGCGTGATACGTTATGATTATTAGGGACATGCCGAAATGCATAGTTTCTGAAAGAGAAAATTGTGGATATGGAGGAATAACCGATCGGGAATGTGTTGAGAAATTGGGCTGTTGCTGGGATTCCTCAGTTCGCAATGTTCCCTGGTACTTCCACGGAAGGTAAGCTACCTACATTTACGGTATAGGGGTTGCTTAGAGTTTTGCTTAACAGCGAGTAACTTTGTTTTACCAATTGTGATATTTGAAAATTCATACTTGTCTACGACTGAGGCTTGGGGGTATAAAACAAAAATTTCCCCGAGGTAAGTTACCTAGGGAAAAATCGGTCACACTTTAAAAATCAAGTTTCCCTAGGTAAACTGTCAACAAGTCGTGTTTACCTAGGTAAAAAGTTTGTAGTGTGACCACAGCTAATGTCTTAGTTATTCGGTCATTTACTTTATTTTTATCGATAAATTGAGATAGATCATTATTAGTATGTGTAATCAAATGGTGACGAGTGAAAATAAAACAAAATACCTGTTAGAATACCTGTTAGAATCATTCTTGATGTGCTCTATCGCGTGTTCAGGTTTCCTAAAGCGTATTTTTATGCCCTGGCATCTTCATTCATGACATTTTAAAACTTCGTCGCCATCTTGACACTGAGACGTACGGAAGGTTGCCATGGCAATTTTGTAATTTCACTTTGAAATTACGAATTATCGCTGAAATTTCGCGCCATAATTAAGAAGTAATTCGTCACCTATGATATTATGATGGAAAATACCCACCTTTTACTTCTTTCAAGTCAATGAAAAAAAAAAAGTGAAAAAATAAACACATATTCTTTGAGGTGACAGTATTAGATGATTATAACTCTAAATGTTCTAAAGCGTTATACGCTAGATACTTCAAGTATGAATTTGACAAACGCTTTCTTTTTTAGGGACAAAATCGGTCGATGCACAGTTTCTGAACGAACAAATTGTGGATTTAAAGAAATTACCGAAAAACAGTGTGTAAAGGATAGAGGCTGTTGCTGGGACTTTGACTATGACAGACTATGCTGACGAGGTAACGGCGGGGCTTTATAGCGAAAACTGTTTTGTACGTCGCGGTTCTCCTGAGCAAGAAGCACCGTTAGACCCTTTAATTGTCCAACAATTAATCCCCGAAATTAATCCTGCGACAAATGACAGAAGAATCCAAGACGCAAATGATACTATGACTAGTGTTTGTATCGGTCTCACGTCGAAAATTTCTCCTCTTTTGTCCAAATGCAAGGCCGGATTTATAAGCTGCACATATGTTATGGGTCAATGTAGCTCAGAAGACGGATATGTGAAGCAAATCACGCCCGATTTGCCAACACTTCGCATATTTGAACCTCGTGAATTTCAGGAGGAGGTTGTAAAGTGGATCAAGCAAATGCTGAAGGCCTTTTCTGGACTGCCGCTAAATGAGCGTGAATTTGGGGAAAATACTATAACGTATTTTTCACTTAACAAATTAACTGAAATTATTATGACTTTCAATGTGACTCATTCGTATATGCAGTGCCGTCCCTTTAGATTCGAAAATGCTGGTCCTTTTGACCTGCATTGGATTATGAAAACTTTAAGTAAATGGAAATTTACATTAAGATGCTTCAATGTAAATACGTTTGAAGTTAAATTCTTGGAACAGCAACAATTGGAGTGAAGAATATTGACTTTGAGTTTAACTTTCGTAGTTGTTTTTTTTGCGCGAATATTGAATTTTATTTTGTAAATAAATGCACGAAAATCACGATTAGCATTACAAAGATTAGCATTAACGCATTTATACAAATTGCATTAAGAAATGTTTAAAAGCAGTGTTAGATAAAAAATCAATTTACCTTTAAGCGGCTCGCTCGCTTCGGTTGTTGCCCGGACTTATTAGGCTAAATAGCTTCTTTGTACTTGAGCCTTTACCTTTAAGACCATTTATGTCGATTACAATTAAGAGAACAGAGAAGATGAAACTGAACATATCTATTACACTGTAGTTAAATGGACCCCATCAGGACATGTACACCCAAATATGTTTCGAAACCATAAAAAAAAAAAAATAAATAATAATAATAATAATAATAATAATAATAATAATAATAATAATAATAATAATAATAATAATAATAATTGTATCCAAAAACAGTAACATGTAAGAAACATAACACTTTAATTCTGAATCTTTTATTCACGTATTACGTCCTTCAGGACTTATTGTACAGAAAAATAGACTTATTTTAAAAATCGCGCGAGTAGATTAATTCCCCCATTTCTAACCACATTAAAAGTTCGTACGTATACGCGGCGTCGTGAAAAACTAAGCAAAATGAACAATAGGCGAACCACTCAAAATAGTTTTCACAATAGCGACAAGTAGAAAAAAGGTCTTATCTTGCATCACAAAAGAAGAATTTCAGTTTCCTTCCAAAAGCAACCCTTTCACATAGTTGACAAACATGCAGTTCGTATATCTCAGCAACCACTTGTCCTCTGCAAATGGATCGGTATCTATGCCAATACGAACTAGAAAAGAGATTAAAAATAATATTAGATACGAACCGGGGTTGATAAACAGGCATTTTAACATTTCATCTCTGAATCACGAAATTCAAATTAATGTTGATAATCGAACATATTTTAAGGAAACAACAAATAAATATTTCGCAAATGGCGTAAAGAGAGTCAGCCTTACAACATATACTGACTTACTCTCTAACTTAGGCACAAATCTTTTAGCAAAACTTAAAATCGTAGTTCCACTTGTTTTACAAATTGGCAGTCTTCTTTTTCTATCCAAGGTTGTCGCATTTTCTTTTTGTAAACTTTTTCATTCACATACCTAATCATCTCCTCAAAAAGTTGCGGGCGAAGATCTCGTATCTCGATTTCCGTCTTAATTTTCCAGATTTTTACTTTGATATGATCATCTAACCAGTCCCAGTAGTTGTCAATTAGAAGACGTCTTCCCAAAAAGGTTTCTCGCTTTAGTACTTGTTTCAAATACATGATGGGATATGGACTAGCAGACTGAACACTCTAGTTTAAAAAAAAAAACTCTTCACAGAGCGCTCTTTTAAAGCACAAGTGTGATATGTGCATATTTTAAGCACATTAGGTTAATGCCAAAAAGAAACAATATAATAAGTTTGCGTGATTGCTAAGCTTCATAAAAATTAAAGTTAGTTGAACCAGCCTAACGAAGTTTGCACGCAATTGAAGGAAAAAGCGTCAAAAGGCATGTTTTTTAAGTCTCAGTAGCTCCAAAATTTTACTAACCAAGGGAAAGAAAGCGAGAAAAAAAAAGCGAGGGGAAGGAAAAAAAGCAATGGTTACACTCTTAGTTTTTTATAATAGCTACTTTGGAGATAGTATATTTGGCGGACAAAGAACTCTTCGACGCAAAAGATCCATTTGGCCATAACGTTATAAAAGATCCGGCTAGATATATATACCGGTATTTAAAAAAATAAATTTCTAATGTCACAGTTGCCTTGCATGTGACAATCATAAAATTGTTTCATTTGCTGATTGGACACAGTTGCAGTTTTCAGCCATGTTCATTGCTGCTGTTAGCGGCGCGTTATTCATGGGCACGATTTCAAACAGCCTATGTCGAATGCTTTTGAGACTTTTCGGTGGACGTGACCTTGAATAAATGGTCTCTAGCAGAGTAGGTGGGTGAAGCCGATGTAATATGACACGATTACACCCACATTAGTCATGCGCGGTTTGAGGAGTCTTGAATATATATAACCATGGCAACCAAAAATGTGGCTAAAAATAAAATCATATGACCCCCATGACCTTCCAAAATAACCCTTTTAGGCTCCGCCCCAGAGTGTCAAGCGTGACGTAGGTGCAATTGACAAAGGGAGGGGTAGGCCGGGAAGCAATTTGTCGCGTGACATCTTCAATTGTCAGCTTTTACCATGGGAGGGGGAAGTAAAGTGAAAAAACTTCATAGACCAATCAAATCGCTGCATTTGATCACGTGACACTAAGACCCCGCCCACATTAACTCTCTATCTCTCCGCTCTCGACCAATAGGATTGAGGGATAGAGAGGTTAAACATCAAGCTAAAGAAAGAAAGATGAAACCTTGCCAGATACATATATGTGTGGTTTCTGTCAATTAGGTGATGTTCAATTATGCAAATGTTGTCACGTGACTCCACACGGCCAGAAAACAATAAAAAGTCTTTAAATAAAAATGGCAACACTTTTTGTTGTGAGTTATTAAACCTGACTGGTTTAGAACAATGTGTAATGCAAGCATCTACAAGACTGTGCTTGGCCTTTTTTGAATTTTTTACTGTTTTAGAAAATAAATGACTTTTTCAACTAGACCCAGTCCCCCAAAGCAATTGTCTCCCATCTTAACGCCTTCGATTTTAAATATCTAAAAAAGGCCAAGCACAGAAGTGACATATTAAACGGCATTAACATTATGCAACCGGCAAAGTAATTGAAGACACACGAAAAAGTGTTGCCGTTTGAAGAACAAGCTTTTTCAGCCAATGGAGGTCACGTGACCTAATTTGCATAATTTTAAAGCACAAAATTGACACAAACTAAAAATGTGGTTAGCTGGCAAAGTTTTATGTCTCTTCATCTAAAGCTTTTAGATATAGACCACACCCTTACTTTTGAAGAGAGCAAATTAAGGCAAATTGAGGCCCATGCCTTAATTTACCTGAGTGATTTGGATTTTGCCTGCGTGACAGGTTTTCAGGGAAGGTGTAACAGGAATCGAGGCGTGCGAGAACACGAAAGCTTAGCCCGTTCCAGGCGTTCAAATTTTGGAGACGGTGCAATAAGATAAGAGCTCCCTCTCCCTCTCTCCCTCCTTATCGCAAAAATTTTTTTCCCTCGCTTTCTGACTTTGCGCCTCACTCCCTGTCTGAACGCCTGGAACAGACTAGCGAAAAATAAGTGCGCTACTATAAGTATGGGTCAGGAATGTTAACCCAAGGCCTTTCCAAAGAAACCTCTCCAGGCACCGAGAAAGATAGAAAAGAGAATGTATTCAGTGCCGAATCCAGACCTTGAGATAAGGAGGGGGGAGGGGGGGGGGCGGTCATCCAGACCCTTAAATAAGGGGTTGGGGGCAGTGTCCAAAAAAAATTTTTTGGGCCTCAGTTTGGTCTAAAGATAAGTGTGAGAGGATCTGCCACTGGTATTATTTGATTTGGAGGTGGCCTGTATGGCAGAAATGTCAAAGAGAAGAAGAAACGGAGAAATAAGTTGTACGATAACACGAAAGCTAGGTGCACGACTAAGGGACAACTCGGGAAGGGTATATAACACTAGGATTTTCAAAAGGAATCCCTCTAGGCACCAGGCCTTATAAAATGTTCATAAATAGGCCGTTTCCGAGTTGCTCCGAGTCTCTGTTTCAAAGCGAGGTTACGTGCGAAGCCTATTTAATTCAGTGATAAGAAAATGTTTCCTTTTTAATTTGCTGTGACGCGAATAAAACTCACAAAAAAGGTATTTTATGTGACCTCTTATGAAAATGAGAGTTTTTGGAATTGGGAAACTGGTTGTTAGATCTTATTTAGAGTAGAATGGTTATGAAACCCGGCCCGTCAGACACCTTTGTCACATGTTTTTTTTGTGGACTTGACGGTGGTCAAAGCTCAATGGCATTCCTATCATTTTTATCTTTCTATTAGCCAATAGTTACTAACGTCGCATTGAGTTGTTCCGTAACAATTTTTGAACAACAAAGCAAAGGATTGTACACCATCAGGGAGCTCCCAATATCTTTGATGTTTGGTTCCTGTGATTAATTTCATTACCTGTCTCCGCTACTAACTGCGATTTAAAGTTTAATTGAATTTAGACATATGGGCTATAATTTGGCATTAACAAGGAAAGGAAAAAATAAACTTGTCTTAGTATATAATAAACGAGGATTTTTTGTTTGTTTTTTGCGATAAGACAACACGACACAAGTCGTATGCAATGAAACTGTCTTGTTGATCAGAGAAGGCGAGTTTTAAAGGCCGACGAAGGAGTTAGTTTATAACAAAGTG